AACCTACAGATAGAATTTCTTTCTAGGAGAAGCAGCAACGTTCCATTCAGTATCCACCTAGTAGTACTAAACGCAGGTACCTTCTAACTTGTTGTCAGAATTACAAGGTCTATACAAAAGCAATCTAGCCTCCAGCCGTCCAGCCTTAATAAATGCGCCACCTATTTGATCAAAGGACAGCGATAGGATAACTCCGCCTAAACGAAAGGTGGAAAATTAAGCTTGAGTGAATCAATACGCTGCAAATGGCTCGCACTTCCTGATAGAAAAGATATATCATAAGAGGCCAGCACACTATATTTAAGTAATGAAACTGAATAAAACTCTAAGTAACATTAGAATGACCTATCTGCTTGCAAAGGATAGTAGTTCGGTGCCGGTATCGTAGTCACTGACCTAACCAAAATGCAAGGTATTTTTCTGTAAAATCCTTCATCTCTACGCGGTTCCCTCAGGCTTTTAAACTTTGCAGCCAGCTGGCCATAGGACAGATTATCAAAGGATCATTTTGATTACTATTTGTCAGTTTTTTGGTGTGAATCATAATTTCTTTGTCAAGTTAACATTTGTGGACAACTTGCATGCCAAATGGTATGTATGACATCCTGTATCATATCCTTCGAATAGGATTATAAAAAAATCTAACTGGTAAAAGTAATACTTGTGTTCGCACTAGGCGACCGAACTTCTATCGTTGCAGCAATAAAATTACTAGATAAAAACAAAACAGTGTGATTTTTTCAAGTTAATTATATCGTTAATATTGTTGTTATTATCATTATATATTGTATTAGGTGTATCGTGAGTCGAACGTACTGGTATGCAGCATCAGCTTCATAAACTACTTTTTCGTTGTCTGAGTTAGGGTGATTTAAGACGCCGTTAATGATGTCGGGTCAAATTTATAAAATTGGCAAACTATCACTTCTCAACTAATCATTGAAAGTTCAAGTTCAATGTCAAGTTTTCCACAAAGATCCTATATGTCTAGTATCTTATTGTATAATAACTGTTTCAAAAGAATGAAACTAACTGCACCACAAGGCCTAAAGGCGTAAGTCTCAAGAGTTCAGAATGATACGCGTTCATCTGAACTCTTTTAATAGCCGCGTCGCGTTTAGTCTGCGAATTCACACAAGGCGGGTTTGGGTAAACATCTATCGCACGAGTCATTCCTGAATCTGTCATTTGAACACTAAATACACACAGAATAAAGAAACACAGCCCTTGGCCATTTTGTGGATTATATGAGCAAGCCATAGAGACCTCAAGCGTGGTATTTCGAGCGGTAAGAGTGATAAAAGGTGTAAAATATGTATTTGGCACTAACGCGGTGACAGCAACCCTCCAATCACACGGTCCCTAACGCGTTTATCATCGCTGGCAGTTGGTGCAGCAGTCATAGCGGATAGATCTTTAAAACTACAAGGGCAATCTTTATTGTTAGAACATACGATCGATGACGATCGATGACTGAACTTCGTAAATCGTTCCAGCATAATGTGCACACATTACTTACACATCGTACATATAAGTCGATGCTTATAATAACTGATCCCGTTGTACGTGATAATCTCTTACAGCTCTGCTTAATTTCGAAGGGGGACATTGCGAAAGGTTGCCTTCTTCACTCGAATAACCTAGTTCGATATAGAAAAGTTATTCGATGAAATCCATTGGCTGAAACTCGTCTGCTAAAATCATGTAAAGGGAAAATACAGCTATCGAATAGATCCAGTCTGTCGATGACATTGCTTGCCTTCAACAGCTCACTTCATTAGTCCGGAAAAACGACAGGCCTAACACGGCATCGCCGTTCACTCATGAACGAAACCCTTTCTCTCAGCAGGCTTTGTCTTGGTCGTCATTGTAGCTTTGAGAAGTAAAGAAATTGCAGTCCAAGCACCTTGTTTAGTAAACATATTCCCAGCCTAGGGGGAACGAACGGAATAGGGTCTGTTGTGTATCGTATCGTATCTTGAGAAGAGCTATTCGGTTGAACCTGTTGTCGACTAGGTTCGAGAGCTTTGGTGGTTTTCCTTAGCCAGTAAGCTTACGCGATAATGCCCAATGTGTGGCAGCCCAACGAAGGACGCGTCCTACAGAATGTCCTTCTAAATTATCATCGTTGAACATAAAAGGCAATGGAAAACTTGCGTAAATCTTTGATAAGTTAATCGTTAAATGAGATAGGTTAATCGTCTGAATTCGTTCGACACTCGGAGCACATTGGAACACAGTGCCAATTCGTCGTTTACTTGCATTTAGAGAAATTTGTTGTAGAACGATGTGCGGCTCGAAAATGAGTCAGTCAACTTATAAGTTGCCTAAATGTTACAAGTTTATCGTCGTGAATTACTAATTTTATCGGAGGGTCATTCTTTCCAGTTCTTGAAGCTTGTCCGTGGAATATTCCAAAGCTGTAGATAACGCGTGTTCATCATATAGTAAAAGCGGATTTATTGTTATGTAATGCGTTAAGTATGATTATTATTGCGTAGTTACTCACATGTACCTTGTTAGGCCACAGAAGTATATCACGTAGCTTGCCTACTTTTGTGACAGAGAGCCTAGATATCTGTCCCGCTTTTGAGATGTACTGTCTGTTTTTTTGTATGCTTAAATCTTTGTTGGCGTAGCTTGATATAAACATTGTGCGACACAGACGCGATTCTACGGCATCAGATAGGTTACAAATGTTTTAAATTGATGCTTTGCCTTTGTCAATATTGCTCTAATCTGCCACTTTTTTAAGGAAAATACTTCTAAATCCTTTTTACAGCTTCGATGTTCTCGCTAAGGAAGAGTCTCCATAGGGCACAACAGATATGTTCGAGGACAACTAACCCAAAAATATGGGTCGTATTTAGTCTTATTGTGACGACTGTATTCGCGAGTGGAAACTGTGAAAAGCAGTCTACAACACGAATGCTGATTGAATGAGTTATGAAATCGTCTGTAACTTGAAGTTAAACTCTGTCATCATTTCGATAGCAATTTCTTGATCGATATGGTAATTAATAGAAGCGTATTATCGAATCGACGTTCTTGTGTTTTGTCTGCAGTACAGAGCGATGCAGATTTAGCCGCAGATATCAACTTATCACTCCGTTGCCACCATTTTGAAATGTTATTAATGATTTCCGTTATTAACAGAGGTTGCATAGAGTCTGTAGTCGACGGGATTTGAAGTAGTGACCTATTTAAAAATACGATAAGCTACTGCTCGCTCTATAGGGGCCCACCTCTGTAGGGGATTCTATAGTGGTAAAGGTTGAGGTGGTATCTCGTGGTATTAGCTTAAATTGTGTCAAATAGTCATTTGAGAGATGTTTAGCGCGGTGGGTCAACCCAGGACGCCGAGTAGATAGTCTTCAACTAATAGCACTGCCTACGATAGCTTTTAAGCTTGCATTTGTTGAACAGCTATCATCGACATGTGATACTAGGCCATTGTTATCCAGGTTGCGTTTCCCACCTGACTGTACACTGTAGACTGCGTCACAACTTCGGCTGTTTGAGACCTGAAACCTAACCTAGAAAAACTGCCACCTCCTTGTATAACAAAAGCACAATGCAAGCCAATGTAGAACAGCCGCTAATGTTTTTTGAAGGTACTTTCTGTCTTCAGCGAAACAGTTCGATACGCACAGGTGTGTCATCATCGGTGATAGATTGAACGTCTGTAATCTATTAAGAGCATCAGATTATATGGATCATGAGCGCGTATGTTATACGTCGCACCTTCGGTCTAAGCTAAGCTACCCTATCAAGTATAGACCCTATTAATGCAGATGTTTACACACGCAGGCCTTAGCAGTGCCATACGTTTGCTAAATTATTAGCCATGCTTTCATAGTGCCCCCCCCGATAAACTCACTCTGTCATTAACTTCACAAAAGCCATATTGACCCGACGTCGCATAACAGAAATTTTTCAGGCCTTCAAGAAGAGAGAATCTGACGTTCTGAGTAAGACCCGGCTTGCTATTCAGTTTCAGATCTGATCTGGTGTCTTTATGAGAAGGCCGGAAAGATAAAACTGACGTTTTTTTGTTGTCGTAATTTTTAGTTTTTACAATGCTTCAATTAATATGAAAAATTTTGCAAAAAGTTACGACGCGAGCAGGAACGTTGCATGTAATTATCGAACGAAGTACACCGTACTTGCGCCTAACTTTTCGTTTTGATTGAATGCAGTGGTTTTCGTCGATGAGAACCTATCTCTCATACGATAAATTTTCGGAGATATGTAAGAAAAAGGAGTTGAAAACCATCATTAAAATGCCTTGCTAAAGCCTTATATCTACCGTATAACAATCGACTGCCCTGGTGATGAGGTATATCGTGGGAAAAATTACAGCCATCAGGCTGACAATTAGACTTTCCCAATTCATTTGTACAGGTGCACCCCGTAGCTAAAAATGTTCACCAAAGTTATTATTAGACATTGTGATTATCATGTATTTCTTAATGGCAGTATTGACGCATGGCACAAAGAATGAGGTGACACTATAAAATGAAATGTCCGGATTGACTTACTTGTGGCAAGCGCAAGTCTATGAGTATCCATATCCAGGCGAGGTAAAGAAAAAAAAATCACTGACATTCTTCACTCGCATCAATCGTCTTCAGAAAGTTATATATGCAAAGGACCTAAGGTTTCTTACTACGAGAATGCTTCTATTCTTTCGTCTGATAATTATCTTGAACAGTTTTCATTCAGATCTTACGTATGGTCAGTCCTATACCATACCCTAGTCTGTACCGAAGCTAGGCAATTATCAGTGCCTATAGTTCGACTGAACTCTGGATTGGTTATACCGTACCCCAGTGGATATCATCATTATCTGAAGACCGGTAGTGATCGTGATATATTTACAGTAACATTTAGACATATGTTTACCTGTCAGTACTGCACCTGTCTGTTCATCAACGCTGCTAAACACACGTAACGCAACATACCCCTACCAACTCTCTATCCACGCGATGTTATCGAAATATAGTTGTGACGCATTTTGTGCTGATGCCCTTTAGTATATACTATACTTGGCTACTACATAAAAATAGCTTAAATACGCGCTTTCTCTCCTTCTTTTTAGTCATCTTAGAAATCGTGTTCCTACTGGTAGGTGTAATCATTTCCGGTCTTGTCAATCTGGTTTGTCGTCTGCCCTCGGTCATGATATATCACTTCCGGCCAACAGCTCTGCTGCATCTCTTGGCCGGCCCAGGGAGTCGTCTCTAGCCAATTATTGCTACGTTATGTGATGCGAAGAAAGGTACAAGGGGCAGCGCAATGGAATAAGGACAACCGATCACCAGTCGTCATTTGGTGAACTAGTCCACGCGATGGCAGCCACCATTTTTCGAGTTCGGGAAAAGTGTAGTAGGGAAATGTCACTATCTCTATTTCTTGCTCCCTTTGAGCGTTCGCAGTCCGTCAATATGACATCGATGACATTTCTGCAAGCCCGAGCCAATGACTCGCGCGCTCACCGAGCCACCGCAGTTGCCTGTCGCGCCCAGGCTGTTGAGTAGATGCACCACTAAACAATGGATACGCTTTTTGTCCTTGAAAATATCGCTTAGCTTCTGACAAGTACGGGAAGCCAAAGCTAAAAAAGGAGACAAAAACGGAACAGAGATGAGGAAATATTCCCACACGCGTAGATGCCATAGTATTTGCAGAAAGAATGACAGGCTCAGGAACCCAGATAGATCTGAAAAGATCCCGCGTAGTAAACAGACGATCTACAATCATTGTATTGTGTGTATAAACTCGTACATCTAGATATGTATATAGTGCCTACGTTTATAACGTATGTATAGTGCTATGTATCTAAATACTGGCGGAGTTTGTGTAGGATATACGACGATCTTCTTGATCTACATTTCTATTTTGCTGTCACTACATAAATTGAGCTTAGCTAGAAATAAAGAAACCAAAAACTGCTCATTTCGTTTTCGTCATAAAAGTGCAGGGACTCAACGCTAACGACACAAATAACACGACAACTCCGGGATCTAACATAAATTGTTACTAAGATGCGCCACAGCTTTGGCCGTATTTCATAGTCTGGCAGGCTTTTGTTCTCTGCGAGGTCTTCGTCTTCTGCCGGTGGGGGGGGGGCGATCGCAATTCATTTGACAGTCGCCTTTCCACCGCGTCTCTGTAAAACAGGAGTTTATAAACATGCACCATGTATGTATGTAATACCTGTCTCCCGGAAAGTGAGCGACAACATTGTTTGTGTACCAGATCTACACGCTGCATAGTTAGCCACAGTCGTTGTAACTTTTCCGTATCACTTTGCAGGTGCTGGTCATGGCGGCGACAGTGGTAGCGGCAGCTCGAGTGCCAGTAACAGAATGAGAAAAAAAGATGTACTGAGTAATAAAGGTTATACAACTTCGGTCAGTCTGAGTGTGAAGGTCTAAAGACTATAGTTCGGTAGGTTCGTGTGTTATGAGAGCCTTTCACGAAGCGAAGTCGAGCATTAGGACGTTTACGAGGGTGTTACCTGCTTCCCTTGTAGCGCATACACGAAGGTGAAATTAGCTGAAACTAGACAATGACATGGTGGAAAGCAGAAGCCCGCAATCTCGTTTGCTCCAGGGCAGTATACCATACACCTCGGAAAGAACCGCTATCGCTAGACAGGGCTCGAGCCAATAGCTATTAGAATAAAAAGAGTTTGTTTTAGGTACGCAGACCGAACGAATCGCATTAAAGGCTTCTGCAATATCAGCGATTGATTAGCCATTCTGTTGACAGGAGCGCTATAGCTGTGAAAAATGATATGATTCTGTACCAACAGAATCCTATGATTTTTGCAAGCAAACATTTTTTCCCTTTCATCGATTATAGCGTGAAATAGTGAATACAAATTTCGAAAAATTTCGAAGCATACCACAGAATTGACAACTGATGGCACTTAACATTTCTGCCACCAAACTGAGATAGATCAGTACGATTACTCTGGCTATAAGATGTCGAATGTATAAACTAGCTCTCCATCAACAACAAACTCCATCCAATAACAAAATCCATCAAACTTTACATATTTATATCGTTAGAGGAACGTTTGCACTCACTTACTGATCAATACGTTATCACATAGGATATAAATCTCATGCGCTTCCGCTTTGATGAAATCGACAAGACGGTTCTGACGGACCATATAACGGGTGAGCAGTGGAAGTCTTTGAAGCCCGTCTAAGCTACCCCACTAATGAGCTGCTGCTGCTGCTTGTTCTGTGTTGTGCTAGAACTGCGTGAAAGTTCAAGGTCCGATATGTCTTTTATTGGGTATACATATCCTTATATCAAGTTAAACGGTTGAACGTGCTGTCAAGCACCATATAGACGTTAAACAAGAGTTAGGCGACTGTCTGGAGAAGAGCTACTAGGTTTGTGGACTAACCGTCTTCGCTATATAATATATATATATATATATATATATACATACATACAGCCGGGAGGCACATAAGAAGTTAGAAACTTATTCGACACGACACACTCGGAATATGACAGTAGAAATATAGATTGTTCTGTTGGCATAGGGGTGCAGTGATCTGAGGGAGAAAAGAGCGCGGGCCAATCGTGTTTTCCCCAGAAGAATCTAAAAAGTATTACACAGCCAAACGAACTTTAACTATACCCGTCGCCGGTATTGTGTCTGTTAAATTATTCAAGTTATAATAGGCGATGCAAAAATCAAAGAATATTTACTTACACGAATTTTGCCATAAACATACGGTTATACTAAATGTACATGTTATACCCACCCTTTTAGCAGTAGTCCAGTAGAACCTGTTTTTTTTTTACAAAAAAACATTTTTCTAGACAATATATATATATATATATATATATATATATATATATATATATATGTATATTTATATATATAGTTTAGGAAACAACGTAAATATTTATTATTTTGCTTTAGTTACGCCCAGACCCATCACACTGTACGACCGTAACCGTACCCATATCTGTTCCGCACTCTATAACATCTTTCGAAGATGTGGATTTGAGCCTTTCATCCGTCTGCTGTAGACGATCGCACGAACCTTGGCTAATTAGAAGCCACTTGCGACTCCTCTAGCATATACCGCTATCTGGTCCCCCAGACTTAATTATCCCAAAAATTGTTCGCCAGTCTTCTGGGTTGGTGTTTTTATTTTTCGATAAAAACGCGGAGCTGAGCTACCTAGCGAGCAGCCTAACCGCTTCGAGAATAATACGTCAACATTTAGGCAACTCAAAAACTTTCTTCAGTATTTGCAATATAAGTGACCGATTTTAAAATGGAAGTTTTTTCGCCATGATGATACATTAGCTTTGCTCCAGCTTTTCGTCAATCTTAAAGGTTCATAATCTATACTGACTTCTAGTTAAACCTTAGTGATGTAATGATCATTTACCAACGCTGTTTTACCGTGATTTCAGTGGGATAGTGCAATTAACACTTCCTGTATTGGGGGTGAATAATTTTTTTTTTTCGTTTATACGCATGTTTTTTTTTT